GGATCCTCCGTGCCCATCCCAGGGATCCTCTGTGCCCATCCCAAGGATCCTCTGTGCTCATCCCAAGGATCCTCCGTGCCCATCCCAGGGATCCTCTGTGCCCATCCCAGGGATCCTCTGTGCCCATCCCAAGGATCCTCTGTGCCCATCCCAAGGATCCTCCGTGCCCATCCCAGGGATCCTCTGTGCCCATCCCAAGGATCCTCTGTGCTCATCCCAAGGATCCTCCGTGTTCATCCCAGGGATCCTCCGTGCCCACCCCAGGGATCCTCTGTGCCCATCCCAGGGATCCTCTGTGCTCATCCCAAGGATCCCGCTGTGCTCCCTGGCCCTGCAAAGCTCAGCCCAGCCAGGACTGGCTCAGGACGGGGGCTGAGGGCTGAGCAGGGCTTGGCAAGGCTCCGTGCCAGGCTCAGGTGCAAAAACCCAGGGAGAACACCGGGATTTACACCGGGAGCTCTGGAGTGGGGTTTGATGGGATGCCCAGAATTCCACAGGGAGGATCCTCTGCCCTACAAACCAGGCTGGCCTGGAATTCAGCCCCGCTTCCCCCGCTGCCGGGGCTGCCCGTGCCTGGAAGCGCTTCCCGTGGAGCTGGGCTGGATCCTCACGTCCCAGCCCTGAAGGACGTTCTGGGAAAAGCGCGCACGAGGTCAGGCTGGATCCCCATGAATCATCCCGCTCGGAATTACCAGGATTCCAGCATTTCCATATTAACATGAAGAATTGTCGGAATTACCCATAAGCAGCAGGCTGGAACAGCGAGAGGAGGAAGCAGCCACCTTTATATGTCATTTGTGGGAGATTGTGGGAGATTAAATTTAAATACATTGTTGTTTGCCTTAATTGCTTGTTTGAAGCCGATTTTAAGGCCGTGTGATTGAAGGGCTCACACCATTAAGTGCTCAAACACAGCTAATACATTTTATAAATGGCCTGCACAATTTCACAGGCAGAGAAGTTTCAGATAAAAAGCAGCCTCCCAAAAAAAAAAAAAAAGAAAGAAAGAAAGAAAAGAAAAAAGAAGAAAAGGTAAAAGGAGGAAGTTCACCTGCAAGGGGAGGAGGAAGGATCTGGGTGAGGCTCATGCCACGATGCCCAGAAAGCTGGGAAACCCTAAATACACATTTTTAAAGTCCCCAGGAGTTCCCAGGTGAGGGGTTGGACCCATTTGTGTGCTCCAAAAAGAAACAACAGCACGGATCCCGCAGAGGAGGCTCTCTGGGCATGCAGAGCTCAGTTCAGTTCAATTTGATTTAAAGCCCTACAGGAGGCAGGAAGGTGTTGAACAAACTGAGGAACTGGACACACACACAGGGTCCTTGGGATGGGTTATCATTCCCAAACCCATCCCAATCCCAGCTGGGGAAGCCAAGCACAGCCAGGAAGGCTCGGTGAGCACGTCCCCTGACATCTGACTCAGAGCCACAACTCCCAAAACAAGAAACTCGGAGTTCCCAGTGCTCCAGAACAGACAACCCCAAACCCTGCTGGGCTGGGCCCAGGCTGCACTTCCAGGGCAGCCCCAGCTTCCAGCAGATCCCACTAAATCAGCCCCAGCAGCAATTCCATGATCCCTCTGATCCTCCCAGTACCAAGTGCCAGGCTGGAGCCCCATTTTCCCTGGAAATGGAAGGAAAACGGGATGGGAAGGTGTGACTGGAGGAGGATGGGCCTCCTCCACCTCTCTCATCCTGGGAAACTCCGCAGCAGCTCCAGGGAGCAGAAATTCCCAATGGGCACAGAAAAAAGCCCATCCCAAAATAGCATTTTGGGGAACCATTTACCACAGCCCATCACCTGTCACATTCCCAGCTGCTCCAGAGGAGGAACTCGGGAGCCTCCTGGCCCTGGAGGGCTGAGGGTTTATCTCCGGGAGTGGAACGAGGGGAGGCCGGGGCAGCACAACCCCAGCCCGGGGGGTTCTGCTGTGAGCTGAGAGCTCAACCAGGACTGGAGCCCTGCAGATCCTGTGAGCTGAGAGCTCAACCAGGACCGGAGCCCTGCAGATCCTGTGAGCTGAGAGCTCAACCAGGACTGGAGCCCTGCAGATCCTGTGAGCTGAGAGCTCACAACTGGACCGGAGCCCTGCAGTCCCGGCTCTGCTTTCCTCCCGGGATCCCATGGAGTGCTCCAGCTCCGGGATAAACCGGCCCCAACCCCGTTAAACCCCGTTAAACCCCAAAGCAGCTCGTACCTGTCCGCAGCCCGGGGCGCCGCACACGAAGGGCCGGTCGTCACCCATCCTTCAGCAGCCTGCGGAGCAGATAAGGGACAGAAATCCTTAAATGGCCCCAAAAATCCCCCAAGCACCAGCAGGAGCTGCCCCTCTGCTGGGACATCGTTCATCAGGAGATGGGAGTAACTGCAGCCGGGGTTTGGGATTTGGGAGGGGCTGGGTGGGGTTTTACAGCTGGAAGGGAACCTGGAAAGGTGTGGGAGCTTCCCGGGGTTTCACCATCACCCAGAGGAGCTCCTGGGGCTCGGTGTCACCTCCTGCAAGGTGGGGACCCCGCTCAGCCCTGCGGAGGGGCAGCAGCAAAACCCCCTCAGCGCGGCCCGATCCGCCCTCCCTCGGCATTTATGGGATCAGGGAATATCCTGGGATCCACAGGGATCATCAAAGGCAGCCCTGGGCCAACCCAAGAATCCCCCCCATGCAAACAAACCAGCAGGGACAGTGGCAATCCACAGGAAAACAAAGTGCGAGCGAGCAGCCATCAAATAAATCCAAGGCCTCTCTCTGCACCGGTTATATTTTCAATGGGAGAGAACTAAAATTTGTCATTTAATTAATTAAGGGATTATAGGAGTGGTGCTCCGTTTTACAAGGCAATAATCGGGCTCCCCAGTGGGTAAACTACAAGGCTGATGGCAGGGGCAGTTTATCACGGATTACAGCCAAGGATAACAAAACACTCACTCCTATTATGCTACAAGTGAAGCTGTTCTCATTAATAAAAAATAAGAGTAAATAAAGAAAAACCCTCCCCCCCAGTCTCAAGCTCAAGAAATAACGGTTCCCTCCACCCACTGATATTTTTACAGCAGGATTTTAAAAAGCTGGAATAAAGCAAATGCTCTCTCCTCGGGAAGCTGCTGTGGGAACACACTCGGGGCTGCTCCAGGGGGCTTCCAGCACCTCCTGCTCCGAGCTGGGAGATGCTGGAATGCCAGGAAGGGAGCCAGGACTGGGGGGAGAAGGGTTTTGCACTTGCAGCCCTGAGGGTTGGTATTTTTAGGAACTGTGTGAGAAGGAGCTCCAAGAATGCAGCTGGGCAGGAGCGGCCCCTTCTGCTCCCCAGGAAAGGAATCAATGAGCTGCTTAAAATGAACAAATCTGGTGATTCTTCTGCTGCAGGAGGTGAATTCCCTGCCCTCAGCCATGGCAGCAAGACCCGAAGGCTGACGAGAGGGGAGCTGTGATCCCACAAAAACAGGAGGCAGAGATGCCCGGCGCTGGGCTGGGTCTGGATTTATGGAGCCGAACTCCAGGGACTGTGCACGCAGGAACGGGGATAAACGAACCTGGCACCGACAGGAATGGGGGAACAAAGGCACCCAAACATCAGGGATGGCCCCAGAAATCCCCAGAAGTGACACAGGAGGCAGCGGAGCAGGGCACAGCAGCAGCTCTGGACAGCGGGAAGGGCAAATCCTGCCCAAGCCTCGAGGTGACAACAAAACTCTGGATGGGGACACAGCCAGGACACCCCAAACTGGGAACTTGGGGATCCCAAATGCTGCCCCAGTGCTGCTGAGGGCACGGGGATCCCCTCCATCCCGAGGCACCCGATCCCACTGGTTCCTCCCCTCCTGACCCACACAAGTCACCTGGGCTGGCTGGAAGTGACACCCAGAGCGTGTCCAGCCCCCTCAGAGCCCCCTCCCTGCGGGCCCTGCTCCAGAGCCAGAGCTGAGCACTTGCTGTGGTTCCAGACTCCCACGGGATCTCCTGATCCCTCTGGATCCCCTTCCCACCTTCAGCTGCAGCAGCTTTAACTCCTTCCCAAAGCAGCAGCTTCTCTGAAATCAAAGTCTGAGTTTTACAGACCCACAAGGGCTGCCCAGGATCCAAGGAAAACCAGAACATTCCCTTTCCCTGCTGCCCCCCGGAGCCCCTGTTCACGCTGGGCTGAGCCGGCTTCTCCCCCCCATCTCCCAAATTCCCGCTCCTTTCCCGCAGAATGCTGCCAGCCCAGCTGCTGCTGTCCCCACGGTGCCTCGGCCCATAAACCCCGAGTGGTCCCAAGCCATGTTCCCGGAGCCATCAACAGCAGCAGAGCCCGTTATCCCGGGCCAGACATTCCAGGGGGGAATGCTGCAGTCCCTGGGAAGGAATCAGCCCCGTTCCACGCTCGAGGCCAGCGATCACAGCGCAGCCTTCCCGAACGGGCTGTCCCCCGCTGGCACCTCCTGGCAGCCGGCCCAGAGCTCTGCCTGCAAACACCCTGGGAGGAAGGGGCAGCACAAGGGTGACGTTTCCAAAGCCCCCTTGGCACTTCTGGAGCTTTTCCTCCAAGGTGCTCCACGCGTGCCTGGCCTGAGCCACAGGAGGTGATGTGTGGGACACGGGAAGGGTCACAGGCTCTGGGCTGCCCCCCCAGCCCGGCCTGCCCTCACACGTTTTGGGATCGGGCTTTGTGCTGGGGAAGCTCCCACGGGGCTGTCCCAGATGGGATAGAGGAGAGCTGAGGCTGAAGCATCTCAAGACAGGATTTGGGAATCTGAGTCTCTTCTGGAAGAAACTCCCTGGACCTCAGCTCTGGATGCTGGGGATAGGGCTGGGCTGGAAAACACTCTAAAAATAAGGTTCTATTGTTGTCCTGGCACGTGACTCGTGTGGCAGGAATGCTGGTGCCCCACTGCATCTGGGCACTGCAGGGCGGGCGGGAATGGCACTGGGAATGGCACTGGGAACACACCGGGAATGGCACCGGGAATGGCACCGGGAATGGCACTGGGAACACACCGGGAATGGCACCGGGAATGGCACCGGGAACACACCGGGAATGGCACCGGGAATGCACCAGGAATGGCACCGGGAATGGCACCGGGAATGCACTGGGAACACACCGGGAATGGCACCGGGAATGCACCAGGAATGGCACTGGGAACACACCGGGAATGCACCGGGAATGGCACCGGGAATGGCACCGGGAATGGTCACGCACACCCCAGATGGGATGAGTGCTCAGACACAATCCCCGCTGCCCTCAGGCCTGCAGGAACAAGCCCAAGCAAAGGTGCAGCTGAAGGTGAGGTGCCTGTGCCAGGAGGCAGCACCAAAACCCTGCCAGGCCATTAAATGGGGCACAGAGTCCTGGAGGAGGGGGAGGATCCAGGCAGGAAAACCACGGCACCTGGCTGGCAGCAGGAGCACAGGCAGAAATGGGGTTTTATCCACAAATTGCCCCAAAAAAGCACGCAGCCTTCATCCCAGCCTGGGTTCCAGTGTGCCAGCTTGTTCCCTCCTCCTCCTCACTGCCCTCCACGTCCAGCTCAGTGCACAAGCGAGGCAGGAGTTAAACTCGGGATGAGCCTGAGCTCCGTGGGATTAATTCTCAGAGCCCAAGGAGTGGCCAGGCCACCCCAGCTCCGTCTGGGTGACTCTGCTGAGCCCCGGGAGCCGCGCCAGGAGCGGCTCCAGCAACCCCAGCCCAGCACAAACAAACCCATTCAAACACAGGCGCTGCTCCAGGCACCGGCCCAGCCCCGAGCGCGGGCAGGGGGAGAGCAGAGAAAGCCACAATAAACGAGATTATTATGGATGGCTGCAGATCTGGGCTGGAGAAGCCTCTGGCTCCCAGGAGAATACACAAACCCCTGGCAGCCGGTGGCAGTGCCAACCCCAGCGCGCTCCAGGAGAGGGGAGGCAGCCCCCACTGCCATCTCCAGCCCAGGAGGAAGCAGCAGGCTCTGCCCCCAGGCTCTGCTGAACAGCCCGAGATTTCCCACTGAAAATGCGAGGAAGGAAGCAGAGTGCTGAGGCTGGGCCAGGAAAGGCTCCTTGTTTTGCTGAGGGCAGTCCTGGCCAGCCCCGAGCTTCCTGAGCCTCGGGAGGAACGTTCGGCACACTCGGGACGGGCTGGGGGCAGCGGGGTCACCCAGACAGCGCAGGGACAGAGCCCTGTCCTGGCCAGGCTGGCTGTGCCCTCCCTGTGCCAGCCTGGGGATGGCTGGCAGCACCGTGATCCATCCTCAGATGAGGCAACAACAGCAGCTCAAGCCCTCCAAGAGCCAGCTTGGCCCCGCGCTCCCACCGCTGCCTGGTCTCAGGGCGAAGCTGGAGACACCGGACACGGAGCTGCTCCTGCCCCTCGGGGTGCCCGGAGCTCTCCCTGCCTCTCCCAGCTGGGATCCACCCATGGAAATTGCGAAAGACTTTCAGTTTTGCAGGGAGAGGCCCCCTTGGGCCCAAACTCCGACTTTCAAGTTATTTTGGGGTGTGAGGGAAGGAGGGAGGGTGTTTGCTTTGTAACCAAAAAGCTGCGAGAGCTGAAAATTGTCCTGTGGGAAAGGAGGCCAAGAGCCTGGGCTGTAAAAGCTGCTTTGGAGGCACAACAGCCTCACGCTTCGTGGGCTTGGTAAAGCAAAGCAAACCCAACTGTATAAACTGGAATATTGGCAGGGAATTCGCTGGAAACAAATCCCCCCCAGCCACAGAGTGTTTAACGAGTCGTTTACAGAGAAACCTCAGCCAAGTCCAAGCATTTCCCTCGGGGCTGGGCCTTTCTGGGAGTTCAGGGAGAGGATCCTCACCAAGCCAGGACCTCATCGCCTCGGGGGTGTCGGAGATGTGCAAAACCCTCATTTCTCGCTTGGAAGTGCCTTAAAACAGCCTTGGAGCGGCACCATTCCTGTTAGAACCTCACATCTGGCCCGAAAGTGACTCCAAGTGACTCCCAAAGCCCTCCCAGGGCAGATGGACCGCAGAGAAATTCCAAAAAGGGTTTGGGAAAAGGGTCAAACCTGTTGGGAAGGGACACAGAGACCTCACAGGGTCACTGCAGCGCCCTGACCTCGGCCACAGCACCTGGACAGGGAATTTGGGAGCTCCCACAAAACACAGCAGCGAGTTCGGGCATCGCTCCGTGGCACTCGGTGGCTCCAGGAAGGTCGGAGCAGCCTTCAAGAGCTCCAGCTGCCCCAAGGGCACGACCTGTGCCTGCCCCCAGGAAAAAGCAAACCCAAACTGCCCCCAGGAGCTGCAGGAAAAGGCTCTCCCTCCTCCTCCCAGCCTCCCCCAGCAGCAATTCCAGAGGCAGAGGCCGCCAGGCTCCGCAGGATCCGGGGTGGCCTCTGTGCCGGCATCAGGGTGATCCATCTCGGGCTGTGCCGGAGATCTACGGCGGCACGGGGAAATAATTCAGCTTTACGGGAGGAAGGAAAGGCCTCGGAGAGCCACCGCTCCTCACCCAGCCCGGGTAATTACAAGGAAGCCACGACGGCCTCGGAGAGCGCAGTATTTTACCTCGGAAATGCCTGAGTGACCCAGAAGCTGGAGTCCCATTTCCTGAAATTATTTCACCACTTCAGAGCCCTTGTTTCAATGAAAGCTGCTGCAAACGAGGCATGAGAGCCCCGAGCTGAGCTGGAACATATTTCCCCTGCCAATGCGCGTGGATGCTTTGAAGGGAAGAGCAAAGTCAGGGCTGCGAGGAGCGGGAGAGCCTGGGAGGCAAAGGAGAACCTACGGATAAAACCCTGCTCGTGAATCCAAACAACGGAGCCAGGGCAGGACGGGGAGGCCCCGCACTGCTCTCCCCATAAAATAAAAATACTCTGTCCCACCTGTTACCATTCCATCCCGCCCGGGCACCTCCCTTTACTCAGCTCTCGGAGCCTCGCGCGCTTTGGCGGCGCCGTTGTTTGATGCACGAGCCTAAAAACCCAAGAGCAGCCAGAAATATTCCAGGAGAAGGTTTGCAGAGAAACCCCAGGTGCTGCAGTGTGGTTTAAGTGGACAGAATTTGGGTTAAACTTGGCCAGGACCTGGGTGAGGCCAGAACTTTCCGGGTCTGGGCCAAGCAGATTTGAAGAAGCGGAGAGTGGAAAGCAGGACCCGGAGATCCACCGAGGATTCCAAGCAGGAACCCAGACAAAAGCTGGGAATGCTGTGCTGGGAGAGCTGACTGAACCCAGTTTCAGTCTCTCCACTTCTCACACACCTCCAGCCCAAAGAGAAACCACCTCTGGTTCCTCAGGGAAGCCGCTGGGTGACCCCACCCTTCTCACCCCAATCCCACAAATCCCTTAAAGCCAAAACTGTGAATTCCAAGGTCGACTGGAATGGGGAGAAAATAATTGATGAATTCCAGGAAGCAACAGGTCCCCAGTGCTGAAGGCCTCTCACCAAAAGGTTCTTTTCTGGCAGCGTTCCATCCCTGGCTGCAGCACAGCTCGGTGCTGAACGAGGGAGGAAGAGCAGTTTGGGAAACCTGGCCTCGATTCCCAGTGCCAGGAACAGGAATAGAAAAAAAAAGGAGGAAAAAAAGAAGGAGGAAAAAAGATAAAATAATAAAATAAAGAAGGCAAAGAAAAAGAAGGCCCCAAGAAAGTCCGAAGGATAAATAAATCCAAACAGAGGCAGGGCAGCATCACGTGGGATGCAGCAGAAAAGGAGTCCAAAGCCAAATCCAAACCAGAGCTCCTTCCCCGCCACACAAAACCAGCCCGTGGGCACGGAGCCTGCTCCAGGGAGCCCTTCCAAGCACAGCTTCAGCACGGAGCAGCTCCCAGCCCTCCCTGCCTCGTCCCTGGGATGCTGAGAGCAGCTCCAAGGAGCGGGGAGGGAGGACTCCTTTCCTCGGGATGGACAGTAAAGGTCAGCCGGACCCCACCCCACAGCCCCGGCTGTCCCCCAGCCCCGCTGCTGCTTCCTCTCTCCAACTTCCTCATTTTCCAAAGCCAGGGGGATTCCCATCCCAAATCCCCCTTTAATCCATGCTCCGGCCGGGCTCAGAGGGATTTTGGAAGAAATGGGAATAGAGACACGGATGAGAAGCTGGAATTGGTTTTGCCGTGTCCTTCCACGCTTCCCAGCTGTCCCAGGGACCTTTCAGAGCTGCCCCGAGCAGGGAGGGCTCCTGCACCTGCCCAGGTGGGGCCAGCACCTCCGTGTGCACCTGCAGCTCAACCCCAACAACCCCCGGCACCACTGGGACCTGCTGGGAAGCGCTGGACAACACTGGGGAATAAGGAACCTCGAGAAAGCAGAAATAAAACAGAAATCCACGGCAGAGACGAGCCCTGGGCACAGCAGGGCCGAATCAGAGCGAAAGAGGAATCTCCAGAGGGAGGTTTAACACATTCCCAAAGTTTGTGTGAAGCCTTTTCCTGCTCCAAGCAGAGGGAAGGAGAGCCCGGATCTCAGGGCTGTGCTGCAAACCCCGTCCACCCCGAGCTGCTCGGTGCCACAGGGATGCCGGCAGCTTGGGAGGGACACGGGAGAACACACAAATCCCGGGAAAAGACTGAAATTCCTGCACGTGGAGCGGTGAGGAGGGTGGACACAATCCCTGGGGGCTCGCCGGGGAAGTGCTCAGTGTCCCACAGCTCAGGACCACCAAGGGCTGGCACGCAAAACCAGGAATTTTCCCCTCAGAAAAGGGCTGGTTTCAGGTTCCCAAAGCAGACAGGCCTATGGGAAACCAACTCCCAACTCAAATCCCAACCAGCTCAAAGGACCAGGATCAAAACCCTTTCCTGAGAGGTGTTCCACAACCTCTCCAGACCAGGCGGGATCGGAGCCGGCGCAGGGCTCACCCCAGTCCTGCTGCAGGAGCTGGGTGTGAGCCGACCCTCCCCGAGAGGGGATGTCCATCCTCTGACAGGGAATGTCCACCCTCCGACAGGGAATGTCCGCCCTCCCAGACAGGGGATGTCCACCCTCCGACAGGGAATGTCCATCCTCTGACAGGGAATGTCCATCCTCTGACAGGGAATGTCCATCCTCTGACGGGAACCTGGCGGCTCTGCCCACCTGCCTCCCCCATCTCCAAACACTGCAGTTATTCTCCGTCCCTGCTGAGAAAAGCCCCCAGCCAAGCAGGAATTGCCGCTGGATTCTGATCCAGAGCTGCTTGAGGGACAGTTACTGGTGGAGCCAAGAACTGGAGAACCCCTCTGGATCATCCCCAGGGGAACAAAGTCCCAAGAGGCAGAATAAGACATGAATAACCTGGAAGGGTGTCCTTAGAGGGACCTGGATGGGGAAGGAGACGGCACCTCCACAGGGACAACAGTGGGACTGGGAAAAGCAGCAGAATGTGGGAAGAGTGCAAATAAAGGGGCAGGAGGAATGAGACGGGGAGACCTGAGCACGAACAAGGAGTTTGTGTGCTCACACCTGAGCCAGGTAATCCCTTCCCTCAGCAGGGCTGGGGGGTCCTGGAGCAGGAACAGCTCCGAGGCGGATCAGTGGGATCACCAGTGCCAGGAAAGGTGAGCAGGTACAGGTGAAACCTCCCCACTTCCACCAGCTCACAGTCAGCCCTCAATTCCCGGTGGGAATTAACCCCTGACTTGAGACCAAACTCCTTCAACTCCAGTTCCTGATGTGTGCACCTTCCTGCTGCTCCCTTCACCCAGGGCCAGGGCAGTTACACACCCCCAGCTCCCCAAACGCAGCCCAGGGGCTCCTGCAGCCCCGGGACCCCCAGCTCTGAGGTCCCGTACCTGCCAGCCCACATCTCCTCAGGGCACTGAGGGGTGTCCCCCACCCCCAAATTCCCCCTCATCATCCAAAGCCTCACCCGAGCCCCTCAGGGTCCCTCCTGCCTCTCCAGGGTTCACCCCAGAATCCTTCTCCCTTTAAATCCCCGCACATCTGCAAACCCCCACGGTCACTGCCCCCTGTCCGCACCCCTCATATCCCCCAAGAGCCCCCACCCTTAAGGTCCCTGCAGACCCCCCAGTCCCGCTGACTGTCCCCAAAATTCCGGGGCTCCCCCCGGGCGCTCCCAGCCCCATTCCGGGGATCCCCCTGTGTCTTCCCCAGCCCCATTCCGGGGTTCCCCTCAGCCCTGAGCCCCCCCAGTCCCATTCCGGGCCCCCCCCCGGGCCCCCCGCGCTCCCCCAGGCACCGCCCGGGCCCCTCACAGCCCCTCGGCCCCGCCCCCGGGGCGGGGCTTGGCCACAGAGCGGCGCCCCCTCGCCCGCCATTGGCCGCCGCGCCCGCCGCTCAGGGGCTGCGCGCGATGCGATTGGTCCGAGCGCGCTGTCACTCAGCGCGGGGCCGAGGCGGGCGGAGCCGCTGCCTCACGAAAACTCAGGGAGAGTTGTGGGGGGAGGGGCCGGCCGGGGCTCCCGGCCCCGCCGGAGCTGCCCCGCGGCCACCGCGGAACCTCTCGGGGCGGCCGCGCTCCCGCCGTGCCCGAGCCGCCGTTACCTGAGGGAGCCGGGCCGGGTCCTCACGCTGGCGCCGCTCGCGCTGGGGCTCCCGCGGCCCCCCCCCGCCCCGCGCGCGAGGCTCTCGCGAGACCCGCGGGGAGGGAACGGCGAGGCGGCCAATGAGATGCACTGGGGGCGGGGCCTCGGCAGCGAAGGGGCGTGCGCGCCACGCCCAGTGGGCGTGGTTAGACACAGACCCCGCCCGCGAGTCCCCGCGCGCTGCGGGGACCGCTACACGAGAGGAGTGGGAACACACCTGGGACACCCCGGGACACTCCGGGATACACTTGGGACACACCCCGGGACACACCTGGGACATCCCCGGGACCCCCAGGGCACCACGAGACACGGACATGCCAGCCCCGCAGCCCCTCCCGGCTGAGGTGTCCCGCAGGGATGGATGCAGGTGACAGCCCAGGTGCTCTTGGGCATCAGTGTTCCCTCGGGGACATGACCGAGAGTGGCAGCCAGGCTCAGCCCAGAGGGGACACCGCCACCTCCCCGGGGTGACCCTGTGGGGACAGATCCAGCTGCAGAGAGGTGACACTGGCCGAGGCCACCAAGGAGACACGAGGAGCTCAGACTGTCACAAAACCGTCTTTATTCCCTGCCCCCGGTATTCCCGGCTGGGCACGGGGCCACCAGCCCCAGGCACAGCTCCGTCACTGTCACCGCCGCTGTCACCGCCGCCCGCTCCTCACATGGCGAAGAGGATGAGGAAGGCCACCATGAGGCAGAAGAGCCCCATGGCCTCAGAGAGGGCGAAGCCCAGGATGGCGTAGGAGAAGAGCTGCTGCTTGAGCGAGGGGTTCCTGTGGGGAGCAGGGCTGGGTCAGGGGGCACGGCCACCCCTGTCCCCCCCAGAGCCCCCCTGTCCCCCCTGCCCTGACCTGGCGTAGCCGATGATGAGGCTCCCAAACACGGTGCCGATGCCGGCCCCAGAGCCGGCCACCCCCACGGTGGCAGCGCCGGCACCGATGAACTTGGCGGCCGTGTCGATGTCCCGCTGGGCAGCGCTCGTCCGCAGGGCCCGGGCGGCTCCCGGCCACACCTGGAGGACAGTTTGGGGGGCAGGTGGGGTTGAGCTCACCCCGGCCCCTCCTGGGCCTCAGTTTCCCCTGCGGGGGGCACTGCCCAGCACGCTGACCCCCACCCAGGTGCGTTACCTGCTCCGGCCGGGCCTCGGGGCTGCTCAGCGCTGCGGCCGACAGGGGCTGGCCCAGCACCCGCGAGCTCCTCCACACCTGCAGGGCACACAGCGAGCTCACCTGGGGGACACACGTCACCCCAGCCCTGTGTCCTCACAGGTCACAGCTCACCCCAGCCCTGTCCCACTGCAGGGTCACGCTGTCACTACTCACAAGCGCAGGAGTGGAGACGAACTTTGCACAGGTGAACATGGCGAGGACGGAGGGACACGTGCAGGACACGGCCGAGGGACACACGCGGGACACGGCTGGAGGGACAGGGGCAGGAAGGGCTGAGGCGCGGGGTGTCCGGCCCCACGGCTGGCCCCGGCTCGGGGGGGGCACACGGGGACATGGGGACACACGGGAGGGGCAGGACGTGTCGCTGCCGGCAGGGCACCGTGGTGGCACTTTGGGGTCAGGGATGGAGGAGCCGCTGCAAAGCGTGAGGGTGTCACAGGCAGGGCCGAGACGGGCCCTGGGGGTCTCGGGCACGGCCTGGGGATCCCCAGCCCTGACAGGGGACGTGGGGACTGGGCCGGGAACCCCAAGAGGCCGCGTGAGGGAACGTCCCCCCCAAACCGGGTCCTGAGGGGGCGGCACCGGCCGTGTCCCCCGCCACAGCGCGGGGGCTCCGCTCGCCTCCGGTCCCGAAGGGCTCTGTCCTCCCCCGGGGCTCTCAGTGTCCCCCGGGCTCTGTACTCCCCCGGGCTCTGTCCCCCCGGGCTCTGTCCGGTCCCCCCGGGCTCTGTCCCCCTCTCACCGGGCTCCGCCGGGCAGGTCGCGGCCGCTCCGTGTGCGCAGGCGCGTCCGGAAGCGCGGCCGGGGAGGCGGCGAGGCGCCCCCTACCGAGCGGGAGGATCGGGAGAGGCGGAGGGCGGAGACCGGGGCGGGGCTTTAGGCGGGGCTTCAGGCGGGGCTTTGGGCGGAGCTTTGGGCGGAGCTTTGGGCGGGGCGAAGCCCCGCGCGCCCTCTGGCGGGAAAAAGCGGGGGCGCAGCTCCGCGCGCCTGGGGCGAGCACGTGAGCGCGCACGCGAGTGTGAGTGTGCGCATGTGTGTCCCCACTGTGTCCCCACTGTGTCCCCACTGTGTCCCCGGGGGGCCATTGTCACCCCCCGGTACATTGTCACCCCCCGGTACACTGTCACCCCCCCGGTACATTGTCACCCACCCCCCGGTACATTGTCACCCCCCCGGTACACTGTCACCCCCCGGTACACTGTCACTCCCCCAGGTCCCGTGTCACCCCCCGGGTCCCGTGTCCCCCCCCGGCCGCGGCTTTCTGGGCAGCGCTGCTGCTGCGGGAGCCGTCTCGGCCGTTAATTAAATCATAGCGATAATTAACTGCCATTAGCGGGAAATCAATAATGAGGAGCCGGGACTGGGGGGGCTCCGGCAGAGGGGGGGAGCCCCCAAACCACGGGGGGGCCGCGCCCCTCCCCAGCCCCCTCCCGTCCCCCCGAACCTTCCATCCCCCCGAACCTCAGCCCCGAATCCCCCCAAGCCCCCCCGCAGCCCCTCCCTCCCGCTCCCCCCCTTTCCCCTCTCCCTTTCCCATCTTTTTTCCCTCTTTTTCCCATTTTATTGTTTTATTCCCCGCTCCGGCCGCGGCTCCGCTCGCTGCCCTGAACGTTCGGATGAAAATCCAGCTCCGCGTTTGGGGGGGCCCGGGGGGCTTGGGGGGCTCCTGAGGGGATGGGGGGGCCCGGGATGGGGTTATGGGGGGCGGGGGGGCTGCCCCATCCATCCCGGTCCAGATCCAGGTCCCAATCCCGGTCTGGATCCCAATCCCGATTCCAGTCCCGGCCCAGGACAGGAGGGGACAGGGATGGGGACAAGAGGGACCCCCAGCAGCCCCCGAGCCCCCCCAAACCCCGTCTCCAGTCTGGAGCGGCCGCTCCCCCCCCGCGCTGGCCCCGCGTGGCCACCACGGGCCCGAGGGGACCCCGGGAGCTCGGGGCGCCCCGCGGGTGTCGCGGCCCCCCGGGACGGGCCGTAAATCGCGGCCGGAGGGGACACGGAGCGCCAGGCGACATGATTCAACCGGGGATGGCGTCACGGGAGCCGGGAGCGCCGGGAGGGGAGGGGGCTCGGGGGGCTCGGGGGGCTCGGGGGGATTTATCCGGGGGGAAAGGGGAGGGGCAGCAGCACCGAGCTGTGAAAATGGAGAGAAACGGCCCCAAAAAGGCGGCAGCGACCCCTGGGGTGGGGGTTCCGACCCCTGGGGTGGGGGATCTCTCCCCCCAGGATTTGGGGTCTCTCCCCCCAGGATTTGGGGATTTCTCCCCCCAGGAACGGGGTCTGTGCCGCCGGTTTTTGGCTCAGCTCCGGCCCCCTCAGCGGGGGATTTTCTCTTCCCGTTGGTTTTTTGGGGTTTTTTTTCCCTTTATTTATTTTTTTTTTTTTACACGCTCTTTTATGACAAACTTTACTTTACGTTTGACATTTAAAAGCTGATCAGATCTTCCCTCCAGGACAGGGGAAATGGAGATATTTATTGGGGTCTGGCGGCGCTGGAGGAGCCGGGAGATTTACTCCAACAGCGCCGCGGGATTGCGGCTCCTCCTGGACAGCGATTTTTGGGAATTCTGGGCCTGTCCTGGTCCCCCCAGGAGGGACAAAAGCCGGGCTGATCCCACCAGGATTTTCCAGCGGCAGGTGCGAGGCTGAGCCGCCCCCGCCGCCCTCTGCGGAGGTTTTGGGGCTGGAAATGAGATTTTCGGGGGTTTGGGTCACCCTGCAGCTCCTCGCCGGGGTTTGGGGACACAGCCGCGCTCGGGGCTCGCAGCTGTGACAATCTCTGGGCTTTGGGGACAAAGACAGAGCCGGGCTGGTGACCCGGAGCTGGGGACAGGTCCTGGGACAAGGGACAGCGACTCGGACGGGGGGGGGGACCCGGGGACAGCGTCAGAGCTGGGGCGGGGTCTGGGACCGGGGGAGGGACCGTCCTGCAGATGGGGACAGTCCCTGGGGACAGCTCCTCACCCTGGGGACAGGGATGGGGACAGACAGGGGACAGGGCTCGGCGCTCCCCCCTCCCTGCACTGCGACGGGAAATTCAAATCCCGCAGCGGCGAGCAGGGAAACACGAAGAAAATGGGAATAAAACCCGGGAGCGAGGCAGGAACGGGGCGGGGGGGACAGCGGGAAAGGTCACCCGCTCCTGCGGGGACAATTCCCGACCCCCAAATCCACTCCCGTCTCTTCCAGTGCCACCCCAGTGCCCCCCAGTCCATTCCCAATGCCCCCCAGTGCCCCCCAGTGCCACACCGCTCCTCTCCTCTGTCTCCCAGTGCCCCCCCAGCCGATCCCAGTGTGTCCCCGCTCTCTCCCAGGGGACTGGGAGGGACCTGGGGCCTCTGGGAGGGACTGGGGGACACTGGGGGGACACTGGGGGGACACCCCCAGTGCCCCCCAAACCCCCCAGTGCCCCCCGCGGGCTCGGGGCTGTCCCCAGGTGTCGCCGCTGTCCCCGGCAGCCCCCGGAGCTGGAGCCGCAGCCCCGGGAAGGTTTCCATGGCAACGGGAGGGAAAAAAAACTTTAAAAATATTTAAAAAAAAAACCAGCAAAAAGCAAAGCGGCGGCGGGGCTGGAGCGGGGCTCGGGGAGCCTTTGTGAGCGAGCAGAAACCCCAAAGTGAGGGACAGCAGGAGGAGGAGGAGGAGGAGCGGGGTTATTTAGGGTGGGGATGGGGGCACTGAGAGGCCAAGGGGGACAGGAGGCGGCCCAGGGAGGAAGGGCATTGCCCAAGGAGGCAGAAACCCCTTTTTTTCCCCTTTTCCCCCCCTTTTTTTCTCTCTTCTTCCCCCCTTTCTCCCCTTCCCCCCCCTTTTTTCCTCTTTTCCTCCCTTCCTAAAAAACCCCCACCCCAAACCCGAAAAATCCACCCCAAAATCCCAACAATCCCCCCCAAAATCCCAACAATCCCCCCCAAAATCCCAGCCACCCCCGACACCACGATTTCTCTCATCCTTTCCCCATTCCCGGGCGGAGGAGGTGAAGCCGCCGCCGAGCTTGGCCCTGGCCCTCCAATCCATCATTTTTATTTCCTGTTGTAACTGACAAATTGTTCCCTATTTTATATCGGATCCCTCCAGGCGAAGGGGGCTGCGGGATGCGATTTCTTCCTCGTTTTTTCCCTTTTTTTTTTCCCCTTTTTATATTTTTTTCTTTTCGGTATAACCTAGGAAAGGAAAAAAAAAAAAAAAAGGAGAAGGAGAAAAAAAAAAAAAAAGTCATAAAACGCAACAATAAAATAAAAAATCGGAGCTGAACCAACCCAAAAGCAGCGCCGGTAATGAGCACCGCAGAGAGGCTCCATAAACCCGAGCAGGGCTGCGGGGACGGCGAGGAAAAAACCACCCCAAAAACCCCTTTATTGCCTCAAAACCGCCAGGGGGAAATTCTGCCTCCCCCAGCCCCCAGCGGCAGGTGCAGACACCCCCAAAAAATCCCATTTATTCCACCGTAAACTGGGGCTGGAGAAAGGAAAAACAAATTTAAAAAAATTAAAATAAAAATCTGATTTTTTTTTTTTCTTTCCTCCGTTTTTCCCATGCAAAGCCTGGATTCTTCTCCTCAAAAACCCCTTTTCCAGCGGGATTTTAATTGTCTTTGAAAAGGTCAGGAAATGTTCCTTCCCTCAGGTTTCATCCCGCTTTATTTATCCCTCCCGGGAGGAGCCGGCGCTGGCTGCTGGAAATCCGCTGCCTTGGGGGGAAAAAATCCATAAAATTCAGAATAAATGATGGGGAAAAAATCCCATTTTCTCCCCTTTTCCTCCCGCTCTGACACCCCCAGCAGCTCCCGCGCTGCTCTGTCTTCTTTTGCCCCAAATCCCCGGGTTTTGCCCCATTTTGTGGGGTTTTCTGCCCCTCAGTTAATTGGGGGAGGGGTAATTAAAGCACAAACCCAGCCCAGCGCTTCCGGCCCCTGGATCCAGGGATATTCCCAAAATCCCTGGGAATTGCCCCTTTTTGAGCCCCTTTTGGGGTCATTCCCAACGCGGGCTCGGCCGCTGCTCACCGGGTGCCCTTTTGGGGCAAATTCACCGTTTTTGGGGCAAATTCACCCCTTTTTGGGGCAAATTTACCTTTCCCCAGGAGCAGCCCACAGATCTCCCAGGTTTTCTGGGATTTTCTGGGATTTTCGGCCCTTCCCTGTCTGTAAATCTCCCGGGCCTCAGGTGGATCAATCCCGGCGGATCCTGCGGGAAATTGGGGAAATTCGGGAATAATGAGGCGGGAAGCGTCGTTATCCCGCCGGGGCTGGGAAAAGGGGACTGGCAGCGGAGGTTTTGGGGCCAAAAAAACAATGAAAGGTGAAATGTGGATGTGAGGGTCCCGTACTGGAGGGGAAACGGCCCCAAAAGGCGCCGTTTTCATCCGATTAAATGGGATTTGATTCCCTTTCCCAGCTCGGGATTTGATTCCCTTTCCCCGGGTTCGGCCTCTCCCCAAAACGGGAGAAAAATATAAAAAAAATTAAAATCTGGGGTGGTTTTGAGGCAAAACCGCCCCAAATCCCGCTCGGCTCGCATCGCCGCCCGTTTTGGGTGGAGAAAGGGCGAGAACGGGAGCGGGGGAGGGAGGAAGAGAAATTAAAAAGATGGAAATCACCCAGCCGGGCTCGGTGCTGACAGCGTGGAAATCAAAAATAAAAAGGAAAGGGAGCAGGGAAAAAAATCCCAACTAATTATGTTTTATTTGCTGATCCGGAGGAAAACGAGCGGCGGCGGCCGGGGGGAGCGGGGGGAGCGGGGTTGGGATTTTCGGGGGGGTTTGGGGTCCCCAGGAGGGATTTGGGGTGGGGTTGGGTCTGTCTGGGGGGGTTTG